TTTCCTCCCACATCAGTGGAGCAAGAGCTGGCAAATGCTTGTCAAAACAGGTCAGGGAACAGACCACTCGCCTGAGGCTGCTGGCCTGGGAAGTGGGACAAGCCCTCCAGAAAAGGCTGCCTGGCCTCCTAGGATACCACGCAAATCGGGAGAGGGCTGGAGGACGAGCACAGGCGCCGCAGTCCGTCCCCACACGCCAGCTGGGGCGGTGGGGGGACAGGCAGGCGCGGGGGCCGGCACAGCACAGTGTGCATGCACGCTGTGCGGGCAAAGGGGGCTCAGGCAGTTACCAGCACTTGCTGCCTGCTACCAAGGAGAGAGCCTTTCCTTCCGAGAAGAATTGCTCATAGCAGGGGCCTCGCCGTGCAGCACCTGCAGTGAGCCGGCACCATCAGATACAGAGCCAAGGGAGGTGATGAGAAAGTTAGCTGTAGGACTAGCATGCGTAAAAGCTGGTCTAAAAACTAAAATGTGGGTCTGTCCCACAGGTACTCCCAAGAAAAAAAAAAGATTTTTGTTCTAAATAACAAATGCAAAAGCTTGTGAGATGGAAATGTCTTGATTTCTCAAGCCCATGCTTCTTCTGGGAGTTCTATTACTTCTCATAACATTAAGGTCTCTGGTATCTCATTTCTTGCCTGAGCAAAGCCAATTGCATGAAAAGAGCCCAGATGCTGCTGCCACTACAGAAATGCATAAGCTAGGACTACATCCATGGATCTCTTCTTTTACGTCTCAGTTCTTACTGAAACACCCAGGTATGTCCCTCGCCTTCAACCCAGGCACAGGAACGGGGCAATCCGGAGCAGACGCCGTTCTGCCTAACTGCTTTTCTACTATCGCTCCCACCCCAGCTTTTCAGATCTTCTCCCCGTGACAGGACATCCTTTTTACTTCACAGGCCACAGCTTCTCCCTCATGTTGTCTGCTCTTCTCCCAAGGCTGCTGAACAAGAGGAAGATGTACGGGCAGCACTGAAGTGATCCCCATCCCAGAGAGCTCTGACTGCAGTGCGTTTTTTTTTTTTTTTTTTAATAATTACTAGGTTATTGCTCACACACACACCCCTACATTCAGCTCCAACAGCACTTGAGTTTAGCTAAATGGGATCAGATACTGACTTGCAGAAGTCAGAATTTTGCATTATCAGAGCACCCTACACCCAGAGCATCTTCCCTTTTGGGCAGTTACTTTGGATGAAGCCACTGGGCCAGATTAGTATTATTCTTGTTGAAGAAGAGAGCCCAGTGAAATCCAGCATCTTTGCCAAGATCAGAAAGGAAGTCAGGACTCCTGGGCTTGTAGCCTTGAACTCTGAGCACAAAGTCATCTTCCAGCATCAGACTTGGTGAGACAAGTGAGCTGCTGCCAGAGTCCACCTCACCATCCGACGGACACCTCAAGCAGGACATAAGATCTCAGTGGAGCCAGCACAGAGGGAGTTTTCCCTTTCCTAAGGAGTCAGGTGATTTTGCTGCATACACAGCAAGCTGTAAGGCTGTACTGCAGCAGTGAGAAGCAGCTAGCAAGTTATACTGAATTAGTCTTTTAAACAGTGCTGGTCGCACGTTATAAAGAGACCAATACACAGGTGGCAACATACAGAATACAGCGATCATCTTGAATCATTTTCCTCTGGGTATTTATAATTAGAAACCAAACACCATCAGCTTCACCCTCTCCCCACTGTAAATAATTAACTGCAAAGGCATATTCCTCTTGGCCCCATCCTCCCCAATCAATTTTGCTTCACAACTAGGGGCACTGTGGCTGGGCACTGGAGTGTTACTCAGAACATTTCACTCGACGCAGAGGAACGGCACAACTGTTAGCACTAGTAAAATAGAGACATTTTCTAGTGGTTGTGAGACTGTCTCGCCATCTAACTCCTGGTAGCTACAGCAGAGGATTATCACACTGGTGACTTAGCTCATGCACTGTGCTCCTCAGCTGGGGCACGTCACCCCCCAAACACTTCCAGCACACATCTCCAAATGGCCCAAGCTTTATTTCCATGACAAGACAAAATTCCTCCCCTAAAATACAATGTCTTCTATTCCTTTAATTATTTTAAAGCATATTCCCAGTAGACTTCATCCAGCAGAAAAAAAAAATTAAAGTCTTCTCCATGACAGAAAGCATTTAAATTTAGGGCACTTTAATCTTTTAATACTGAATTTACCGAGTTGAATGCTCTTCTGCTCAAGTGTGCATGCATGATAACCTGTCCGCCTCTTGTTAGTACCCTCATTAATAGGACACTCATACAGACTCTGAAAATACCAGGTGAGAAAATCTCCAGAGTGCTAAGCTTTTTGTCGTGCTGGATGAGAGTTCCTGACTGCCATAGGACAGAAAGGGAGGAGTAATGATGGTACAAAGAGCAGGAAAGCAAGAATTCCAGGTGGGAGCCTGGGCTTTGTGGGGCACCAGGTCAGAACAGGGGGCATAAAGATGCAAAAATGATGAACAAGATCTACCATTTGCTACTAGCCATTCTCTTGTAATACAAAGATACTGAGATATTCAGTGAAATTCCCTAGAGGAGAGGAGAGGAGAGGAGAGGAGAGGAGAGGAGAGGAGAGGAGAGGAGAGGAGAGGAGAGGACCATGCAAAAATAAGGGAAGGAAGAAAACTTCAGAATTGCAGAAACACCCTTCTCACAACAGCCAGGCAGCCGAGGGGAGGCAGAGAAGCATTGCCACTGGGCAAACATCTTCATATTCACACGCAGTCACTGGGTTTAGCTCAGCTGGCTACCAAGTGCTTGATGAAAAGTGAGAGAAAGATGAAAATAAGCTAATTTAGAAAGAAAAAAAACATGGAAAGAGAGGTAGAATAAAGAGGCAGAAGAAAGAATGATGAACAAATGAACGTAAGAAAGAAAAGATGATCTGCAGAAAACAATACAGGGAAAGGAGAAAGAGTTAAAGGAAATAGATATTCAGGGCAGTTCAGGAAAAGGTAAAGCATGAAAAAGTGGAATGAGAACTGGAAAGGAAGGATAGCCTAAAAAAAGAAAGAGGACTGTGCATGACAGAGCAGTTGAACAGCACTTAGGCGAATAAATCATTTGTTTAATCTCAGCTGTATTTGTCAAATAATTTATTTAATATTCTTCCGTGGCATCCAATCAGCTATAAAGCTGACCAGATACAAAATGGTATAATATGGTATAAATGCATTACTGCATTAATACCATATTATGGTATTAATAAAAATGGAATAAATGCATTACTGGATTAATACAGGTGAAATTCAAATATATTGAGCAGTTTTATTTTTATGTGGTTTCATAGGGCCTGGCTACAAGCATACACTTTGAAAACATTGCACAGAAAGCTGATAATGAGTTACAATTAGATAAGAGTGCTTGGAACACACCCATCTTCCTTTTCCAGACTGACACAGAGCCCCATGGCCCTGAAGCCAACAAGCCTTGAAGGATGGCAGGTGAGATACGGCTTGAGGGGCCTTCCTACCTCTTCCCTTCCTCATCACCCTCCCTCCAGAGAGGACCCCTCTTTGCATAGGACAATTTTGTCCCGGTTAAGGGATTCCCCCCTATCCAACTTCAGAAACCTTCTCGGGGCTTCAGCAGCCCACTCAGAAATGTGTTGGGGATAACCGAGCACAGATTAGTAGGAAGGTAAATTCAGCACAGGCTAACAGCAGGAGGGGCAATGGTGCCTGGCTGCAGCCTCTGGAAGTCAATGTTTATGTTTGCAAGGCTATCTTTGCGTCCCTCAGATACAGCTGGATGAAAGACAGCGATGTGCGGAACGATGTACCAGTATCCTGCTCTCACCAGGAAAAGCTTCCTGAGCACCAGTTGCTGTTTCAAATCTCCTCAGGAGACCTAAGATAAAAGAGTCAGCGAGCAACTTTCAATCTGTTTTCCATCTGCAGACTCGGACAGTTTTGCAATAGCAATACAGCCCCTCTATGCATTTCGCATACACGGGCTGCTGTAAATGACAGATGAACTTGGCCTCCCTGCGTGTTTTTCTCTAATGTCTCATCCCTTGGAGTAGCTTCTAGACGCCTCAAAGGGCTCCCCGACAACAAGCAGACCGTTCCTGAGGAAGATGAGCACCACACACACACACGGGCAGCCCGGTAGTGCCTCCTACGACGTGATGTGGGGCTCCCCGTGAGGAAACTGTGACGGCCACTTTTCTAACCTGACGTCAGGGGAAACCGCAGGCGGTTCCTGCTGCTACTGCTGGACGCGTGTTGTAGCCGAGCAGCTTATTCACCTCACCGTGGATCATTCCCTGGGGCTCTCCATCAGGTGGAAAAGTGTCCCTCGGGTTCTAAGTCCCATTTATTTATTACGACATAAGGCATACCCCAAACTGAGGTAATTATTGCTAATTAAAAGCTCATTTTTATGCAAACATGGAAGGTATTTCCTTGCACGCTTTTTTCTTTATTCTTACAAAAATATGGCACACGGAGACCAGAAAAGACGCACTGACAGCTACCACCCAAAGCAGATTTTTCTCCAGTGAGCACTCTGTCAATCTGCAGCCCTGCCAAGGAGACCAAACAGGAATTCCATCAGCATCAGCTGCACTGCTGCTGAAACGGAGCAGTTCACATGTTATTAAACCCATGAGGGAACCTTTGAGGAGCAGAAAGAACGGACCGTCTGAACCTGAGCACACGGAGGGGAACTCACAGCTGGATTCAAAGCCATGGCTTGGCTACAACTCAGGCAAGTCTTAGCTCCCCAGCTGTGAAAGGAGGATAATTTGGAGCTCTGGGGGGACAAAAACATCAGCGATTCTGACCAGGTGAAAACAATGTCCATCAGCCTCTCCCTAACGGCCTGGACTGACGGGCAAGAGCGGCCGCTCCACGGGGCCGGCCCCTTGCACAGGTGCTGGGCTGAGGGAGGGCAGCAGGACTGGCTGAAACTCGGCGGTGGGCAAGGCTGGGGGGGATAAAAACACCCCCTTCGCAGCACTGCCCTCCTTGCCTCATGGCTGGCTCGCTGGAGGAGGTTGTGTCCTGGTGACTCTGGGGGCTCAGGTAAGAGTGGAAAGGGAGTCTTAAGCCTCTAGTAGCTCTTCAGTCAGCATAAGGCCTAGCGTGCTTTCCTTCTCCTCCCTCCTGTTTTAAACCCTGCTTTAAACTAGTTCTTGCTTGAACCTGCATAATCTGCCTATGCAAAACAAACCGGAGTAATGAAGCCTTAACAGGAGTTTTGTCTCGTACCTTCACAGCCTGCCTCGGAATAACTTTTGCGTGGAGCAGGCTGAAAGGGAAACAATTATTAGGCCATTTGAATAATGAAGCAATTCTTAACACATGCTGCACGGCACTCGTGCTTTTCGCTGTCCTAAGCGTTTCTCCGGAGTTGGCCAGCCCTCCCTGCTCCCTCCCCAGCTTCCTTTTGTCTCGGGGCGGGCTCCGCAGCTCCCGGGCGGCTGCCGGCAGCGAAAGGGGCCGCG